GTGGCAGCCGAACACCACTGTTTCATCTCCAGAGAATCGATCCATATTCATGCTCACAGCTTCCCAGTGTTCCTGTCACACTGCCGGCTCCCCGGCGGCTCAGCATTCCCCCTCTCTCCCTTGGGAAAATACTCGGACTGGAGGTGTGCAGCCTGAGACAGTATGTTGAGGCATTGAGGAACAGGGCAGCTTCTGAGGGCTCATCAAAGGACTGGTACCAAAAGCAGAGCGTAGTCTTCAAGGAGTGAAGCTCATACACAGACAGGCCTAGATACCAGTATACCTTAATATCTAATCTTCTGCGGAATGGGGCTCTGTCAGTCCCACTGGGGTAATCTTTTATTGTCAGCTTCTTCACACATAAACATGATGGCCAAGCCAAAAGCCAAACGGACTCAGCTTGTGTCCTGCGGCTGGGTCCATGTGCTTCCCCTTGCATGCCCCTGTACAGTACTTTCACACCAGAGTATTTACTGAGGCGCCAGTCAGCTCCACCCACTGGATGTTTCCCTCCAGTGCCGTCCTCAGCCTCTTCTGCCGTCAGTCTCATAGCAGCCATTATCGCATGACTTTAGCCCCACCCTGCTCACTGCACGCTGGTGTCTGTCAGACTGACCCTGCATCTTTCTACCCACCATCTATTACCACTCATCCAGGACAGGAAGCCTCTCCCGGGGATGTGGTGGATGTGGGGGATGCCCTGGATGGGATGCCAGCCACTATATATTTGTTAAGCAGCAAGTCCCAATGTTTAGCTACATAAATATGAGCCAGATGTTCAGAAATGAAATGCATTTAATTTTAACTTGCATTGCTACTGTTCACAGTGAAGAAGCTGACACTTTTTCTAACAGAGCTAACTGCTAACCTAAGCATCAGACTGAGTTTATATCTCTATTTCTTGACCTGTTAACAATTTGCTTCAAATCTGTTAATGGCTCAAATAAATTTAATAACAACACGATTACTACCTGATTGCTGGTGCTCACAGGACATGTTTTTTTTTAAGAATTACTTTTGGTTCCTATTTTGTGTATCTTTCTTGATGCTGACACACCTTTCAGCATGCAGTGGCCAGAGGAAAGACCGGCGTGCACCGTGTGGCTATGAGCTCTAACAGGAGCACCTCGTCTTGCACCATGTGGCTATGAGCTCTAACAGGAGCACCTCGTCTTGCACCGTGTGGCTATGCGCTCTAATAGGAGCACCTCGTCTTTCACTTGGATAGTCACCTCCCTACAATAAAACCAATGAAAGAGACAGAAAAGTGCCTCATATATTGTTGTGGATCCTATAATGTGCTGGAAATTGAGCTCACATCCCTTGACTTTGTCACGTTTTCTAAGTCACTAGTGGTGATTCCGTTAGGCTAGCAAAATGCCGGATTATGAAATGTGATTTCCAGAATGGCGGCGGTTTCCATTAAACGTCAGACATTAATGTCCCCTGGAATGGGAGACAAGCATTCGACTCTCCAGAGTCAGTTTAGGGGATTCAGTAACAAGCATAGATGTGGCTCCGGCTTATTGCTATAGCTGGATATCAAAATTCGGTTAGTGCTGATGTGGCTTCTACCACTGTAATAACTATCACACAATCTACCAAGATGCTAAATGAATAACATCAGCCAAAAAGTTCCCATGTATGATTAAGTCCACTTTCCGTTTCCTGTTGGGTGTCAAAAGGCTTTGGAAAGGGGTTTTCTGACTGTTGAATACGGGATGGCTGTGGATGTTTCGGTTGAGGGGGCAGGGATAGGCGATAAACTGAGAAGTGTCTGTTCTGTTTGTGTTGGCGGGAGACTTCAGTCTGAGTGCTGGGGTTTTTGCATTTTGGTTGTTCGAGTTAGAGAGCAAAAGCTCTGCAGTGCAAAAGCAGAGATTTGGGTACGGATGACAGGGACGTGTCCATTTCGATATTGTGAGAGATTTGGGTACGGATGACAGGGACGTGTCCATTTCGATGTTGTGA